CCCAATATGCCCAAATATCAAAGAGAAATTAAAAATGCATGCTGTGGAAGAGTTCAGGTCTTAGTAGGTTAATATTACATGCAGTCTTTTCTTTTCTTTTAATTGTTGATGTAATATATTTTCCTTCAAACTTTACTCCGTCCTTGTTAGACTGTGCAATATGCAGTCAGTGTATTCTGTACTGTTAAATATAAAACCCCAGCAGTATGACCTTGGGGGTTGTAACTACCCACAGTTTTGATCAGGAGTGACGTTATTTCCCTGGTGGCACTTTGTTCAGTTTACCACTGAGTGATTGCACGCTCACGTTCAAGGCACTGGGTCGGTTCCCTGTGGCAAAACTCTGCTTCATGTATCTCAGTAATATGTCTGCTGTCCTGGGGCTATTTTACCGTCACATCTAACATGCCTACTTTGATGATCTCTGATTCTGTATTTATTTTTTTTAAATCCGACCTTTATCGTCTTTATTACAGCGCTGTGGCTTACATCTACTGAGATTTACATCGCTATTAACCGCTGTCCGTCGATTTGTTTCCAAGCCTAAAATCATGACGTTCAGCATTAATGTTTCACGGCAAAATGTAAATAATTGAGTGACTCTGGCATGCTGTTAACATTTCCTTTTATTAATGATTCAATACTGGAATTGGTACCCGTCCAAATCAATACCCAATTGGAGTAAATGGATGATGTCCATGCTGACCGGCGCTGGCTTGTGGCCTTTTCATGACAGTTCATTTATATATTTATTTATTTATGTTAAACCTTTTGCTGTCTCAGGATGGTAAATGGTTAAGTTAAACTGATGAACCAGATGAACTGAACCAGATCAAATTGGGCTTTATTGATCAGCAAGAGCGGAAATTGTCTTGTCATTGAATACAAATGGGGGGAGAAAAAAAAACAAACAGTACAGAGCTCAGTATTTTTGCTGATATACCAATACTGACAGCTACAAGATTAAAAGTAAATGTCTAATATTGTGCAAGTCTCCTTCGCTCCCTCTCTAAACCAGCTCTGACCCATCAGGCCCCAGTCATGGGACCTCTGGCGGTGTGCTGTGATGCCTGGGCCTACTGCAGATCTTACTATCTGAGCATGCCTTGGGATGTTTGTGGTATTCTTTGCCCTGCTAGCGTGCAGTCTTTATGGTATGGTGGACCACATGATGTTGTGCTTGGTGCTTGGTGGGTGGCATCATCCACAAACACCAGCAAACTATTATTAGTGAGAGTGTCTCAAGGCTCTCTGTGCTTTGATGCTCCATGATGCGCAGGACACCAAGCAGACTAAAACACACAATCAAAATGTTGCGTCATGTAACTCGTCTCATTAAAACTAACTAAGATCTCTAACTGGGTGCAAACATAAACGTACATCTGCGCATGCACACCCATGTGCATGTACAGTACGGGATTAGCAGTCATATCGAGACAGCCAGATTAGAATGAGATTCTCGGGGCCAGAGCAGTTGAACATGGGATTAAAGAAGAAAGGGAGAGATGGATAGATGGATGGATGAAGTGATGGAAGGGGAACAAGGAGAGGGAGTGAGAGGCAAAGAGGCCAGTGACAGGCAAAGGGGGAGAAAGAGAGAGAGAGAGAAGCACAGAACATGAGATTAAAGTGTAATGTCCTAGAGAGGCAGAGAGAAAGAGAATCCAGGGCAAGTCATGCAGTTAGAAGGAACTGCATTGGCAGAATGTGGCGAGAATAAAGACGAGGTGAAGGCAGCAGACACTCTTCCTCTATCGCCTCCCTTTTGATCTCCTCTTATTCACCCATCTGAAAGCACTAGGGGAGCGCTGCTTATATAACCCCCCATTTGAAAAGCACAATAAACCAAGGGGTTGGAGGAAAAAAAACACTTTAGACTGGGAAATTACAGGAAAAAAACATTCAAATCTAAAACCTGGGAACAGATGTGCATCCTCAGCCTGGCAGACATTAGTATCATCCCCATGCCTGAATGGCAGCATTCTTCATTTCCCTGAAATCTGCTACAGGCATCATTCAACCTATCAAGAGACCCTGCTTTCACCTCCAAAACTACATTTAGCTGTTCCAAATCCTCAAACTCAGCCAAGGATTTGTTAAAATTTCAGCAGCACATGTGTTAAAAGATATGTTAATGCCAGTGCGCTCTGCACAGCATGTGTCTTTTGTTAACACTTCTGTAGCCCTAATTGAACTCAAAGAATTGCTCCAGACAGATTAATGTTAAAGCAGCTTTTAGTCTTGTATCAGCAATGTTGACTAAGCTGTGCCATCGGGTTGCTGATGCTACTATTGGGCAAATAAAACACATTATTAAAAAGTATGATCCTAGAGCCTGCTTTAAAACAACACATAGGGTATTAGATGTTATCCCACTGAATATTAACTGTTTAAAGTGGAGGCTTTTCTAGCAGACCTTTATTAAGTTGAGGCTCAGTGGGGAATTTGTATAAAGCTAATTAGATTTACCGGAAAACAACAAGTCTGCTTTTTTAGAATTAACATATTTTTCCAGGTCACACTGAGGGCACAGCAACAAGTTTGAAGAAATGAACAAAAAACTTACTGGGTGAATAGAGTGTATTAAAGAAACACACCAAGCAACATGAGCATTTATTTGATTTCTGGCCAACTGATGAGTTTAGGTCCAAAATTCACTCTTCTTCTGGTTCACCTTTAGTCAGCAGGGTGGGAAACATCTGAGCCTTTAGCTGGTAAACACTCAGCTTTCTACCAGTAACTTTGTCTGTCTTCTGCGTGGCGCTGAGAAGGCGGGATTATCAGAGCAAAGCATGACCGCAACAATCACATGAAAGGCTCTGAGCGGTTTCACATGGATGGGAAGAACTGCAGCGCTACAATCTTCTGTTGGCTTTCCAACTCCATTAACCTCCTAGGACCTGGCGTCCACATATGTGGACATCACGTTTTGGGTTATTTAGACCAAAATACTCAATTTTGCTCTACATGGGCCTGATATCCACTTACGAGGACATTATACTGCTACTGTTCTATCGAAATTTTAAACAAATATCCTCATATGTGGCTCTTATTTTCTTAAAAACAAAATTAAGGTAAAAAAAAAAAATCTGGTAATTCTTTGTTTTTACATTCATCGGGCCCCAATATGCCCAAATATCAAAGAGAAATTAAAAATGCATGCTGTGGAAGAGTTCAGGTCTTAGTAGGTTAATATTACATGCAGTCTTTTCTTTTCTTTTAATTGTTGATGTAATATATTTTCCTTCAAACTTTACTCCGTCCTTGTTAGACTGTGCAATATGCAGTCAGTGTATTCTGTACTGTTAAATATAAAACCCCAGCAGTATGACCTTGGGGGTTGTAACTACCCACAGTTTTGATCAGGAGTGACGTTATTTCCCTGGTGGCACTTTGTTCAGTTTACCACTGAGTGATTGCACGCTCACGTTCAAGGCACTGGGTCGGTTCCCTGTGGCAAAACTCTGCTTCATGTATCTCAGTAATATGTCTGCTGTCCTGGGGCTATTTTACCGTCACATCTAACATGCCTACTTTGATGATCTCTGATTCTGTATTTATTTTTTTTAAATCCGACCTTTATCGTCTTTATTACAGCGCTGTGGCTTACATCTACTGAGATTTACATCGCTATTAACCGCTGTCCGTCGATTTGTTTCCAAGCCTAAAATCATGACGTTCAGCATTAATGTTTCACGGCAAAATGTAAATAATTGAGTGACTCTGGCATGCTGTTAACATTTCCTTTTATTAATGATTCAATACTGGAATTGGTACCCGTCCAAATCAATACCCAATTGGAGTAAATGGATGATGTCCATGCTGACCGGCGCTGGCTTGTGGCCTTTTCATGACAGTTCATTTATATATTTATTTATTTATGTTAAACCTTTTGCTGTCTCAGGATGGTAAATGGTTAAGTTAAACTGATGAACCAGATGAACTGAACCAGATCAAATTGGGCTTTATTGATCAGCAAGAGCGGAAATTGTCTTGTCATTGAATACAAATGGGGGGAGAAAAAAAAACAAACAGTACAGAGCTCAGTATTTTTGCTGATATACCAATACTGACAGCTACAAGATTAAAAGTAAATGTCTAATATTGTGCAAGTCTCCTTCGCTCCCTCTCTAAACCAGCTCTGACCCATCAGGCCCCAGTCATGGGACCTCTGGCGGTGTGCTGTGATGCCTGGGCCTACTGCAGA